AGGGAGGCCATGAAATCCCCCTGGTGAAGACACGCCACCACAGAGCGGATCGATTCCATCCGGAACCGGCGAACGCGCACAAAGACGTTCAACCGCTTGAGGTCCAGGATGGGACGAATCCCATCCGTTTTTGGCACCGTAAAGAGGTTTGAGTAAAACCCTCTGAACCTCTCCGAGGAGGGAACCGGAACCACCACCCCTTGGGACAAAAGACCCGCCACCGCGCCATGAAGGTCCGCCAAGTGCTGTGGGGGAAGACGGGTGTTGGAAGGAAAAAACCTGTCCTCGGGACGTGATAGAAACTCTATTTTGTAGCCCGAGGACACCAGTTCCCGCACCCAGGTGTCGGAGACGCGGGACAGCCAGCGGCTCGCAAAGAGCCGAAGACGTCCCCCCACCCTGGAATCCCGGGATGGGGGCAGGTCTTCATGCTGAGGGGGGCTTACCCTGGGGCTTGGCGTTCCTGGGCTGCCAGGGGCGTTTGGCGGCCTGGGAAGGCGGCGGTCTGTTGAACTTCCCGCCCTTCTCCGAGGGCGGAGGCGGACGAAAAAGCGGCTTGTGAGCGGAAAAGGAAGGACCCGGCTTCCGGCGCTGTTCCCTAGGCTTTTTAGATTGAGGTAGGAAGGTACTCTTACCGCCCGTCAAATCCTTAATGATCTCATCCAAGGTAGCCCCGAACAGACGCTCCCCCGTAAAGGGGAGCTCCGTCAGAGCCTTCTTGGAAGCCTGGTCAGCCGACCAGCATTTAAGCCAGAGGAGGCGCTGAAGAGTAACCGCCGACACAGACAGCTTGGAAACCAACGGTGCCGCATCCAAGGCCGAATTACACAGGTATTGCAGACCCTGCACCACCTGTTAGCGTCCGGGGGTGAAAGCCGGAGCCGGCCGGGTGAAGCGCTATTACGGGGACCGGGAAGTGGCGCACCGGAAGTGACGTCACGAAGAGGGCGCACGTGCTCACAACAAACATGGCGGCCTCGGCCTCCGAGAAGGGCGCAAACGAAGCCGGGGGCTCGATTAGCGGCCCACGCGCACACGCGGGAGGAACAGAGCGGACCACGCGCCCCAGAGACAGCAGCACCAGCGCGGCAGCCCGACCCCGAAAAACGCCGCGGAACACGGCCCACAGCTGCTCCCGCCGGCCGCCAGGAACCAAGGCAAGGCCCCACAGTGCCACAACACCCCTACGCCACCCCAGGAGCTGACGGAGGAAATCAAAAAAAGGAACATAAGGGAAAACCTTAGTGGAACGCCTACTCCTGTGCGTCCCAAAAGGAACCGGCGGGAGCGCCGAAGAGCTCGGAGTCTCCTCAATTTTAAGCGGTTCCCGCACAGCGCGAACCAAGGCCGTGACCAATTCGCG